TAGGTAACGCATATCAAATGAACATTGTAGGAAAACGGTGCGAGATGCAAGAGACATTCCTTTCCCAAAAATGATGTAAGCCAATGTAGTATTGATATTCTCTATTAGAAAAAATGGAAAATGAACAAAAACAAAGTTCACTAAAAATTTAACCTAAATTTAAATTATTTTAAAGAATATAATAGAATACTTTTCTATTTTCTATTACTTTTTGGATATTTTTCTTTTCTATTCTGTATGTAAATATATATTAAATATGTATGTACACCATCTTGCTTATGACATTGCTCGTTCTTAAACTAAAAATTTAGTTCAAGAATTTACAGGATTCCACATACGAAAGATCCCCACGTCCAGTACTTTCAGACACCATGTCGTTTAATAGAAAAGTAATGGTCAATAAAACCTTGATTATTACTTTATACAGTTACTACTATATTTTACATTCTATTTACCAATTTTTACTGTTTAGTTTTAAGCTCTTTGCCAGCAAAGCGACTAAATATGCTGATCCCAAATCTTCTTCTGGTCCTGCTGCATGACTTTACTAACAGTCCGAAAGAATCGTTTATGCTTATGTAATAGTATCAATGTATTAATATGTATAAGCTATATACATCATTTTAAGTACAAATATCAGCGTTCAATTTTTCTATAAACAAGGCAAAAATATTATTTGGAAGAAGAAAACCCAAAACTCGATAAGTGTAATCTTAGGTTAAAGTTTTATTTATAACAGTGCTTCAAAGTTTAGAATAGTGGTTTTTAATAATTTGGAGACTACTTTCACTCTGTGGGATCATCTTTTACATTTATGGCATTTTCTTAGGAAACACTCTGTAAAATTAGAGAAGAGAATGTTTAAAGATAATAAACGTTACCATAATAAACGATAATAATAATAAACGATGTGCAAAATAACGGGATATGAATATAATGTATTACTTCAGTTTGATAGTATATCAAACAACAGAAAACTCTTACGTTAATCTTACAATAACACTAGTTTATAATACACTACTGAGGTAACTTCAGATAAAAAGTTATGGGAGTATATGCAGGGTAACGGTTTTTTGAAAATAACTCGAAAACGGTACACAAGAAAAAAAATCGTTGTGATTTTCGAATTCTTCGATAATTTCCCTATAGGAAATATAAGTCTCGCCTTTGGAAATTTTAGGCTGTGAACTAGTGTAATTTAGCCAGTTGTGATATATAGACTGATATGTATGATATGCCAAGTCTTAGGAACTTACCTTCCTAAGAAGGTAGTTTAATATAGTTAAACTCCACCGGAGCAAACGCAACAAAATTTTACAGGATCTGTTCAGTATTTTTAGAAGATATTTCATCTATTTATAGAAAATTTTATTTACAATAACTTTTGACAATAATGAAACAAAGGGATAAAAACTATTACAGATGATTTATAATAAATTTTTTTGTCTGTGTAAACATGACAAGAAAAGCTTAAGGTCTTAGGTTTAATAACAAAAGTGCTAAATTAATACTAGTATTATTTTTTGTTTAATTCTGATACTAGTATTTAGAAAAACCTGTTATTGTAAAACTGTTTTTTGCTATTTTTATTTCTAATTTAAACTGTGCGGTCAAATTTAGTTTGAAAGATTGTTTTATTGTCCGGAAATATTGAGTTCCTATATAGACTTAATTATTTAGGACTAACTTATTTTTTAAAAAATAGGTTATTCCAAGAAAATTTTCTTCTCCTATACATAATAATGACATTGTACATGATTCTATATACTGCCTAATGCATTCGACTTTTCCTCATAAAGAAGGACTAAACCTACCAGAAAATTCGTCATTTTCAGCAGAGCTGCAAACCCGTATGTCCTATAAATACAGCCAATTTATACACGCTACTCAACTGCACAAAATCTCAATAAATCCTCACGTTGCCTAAAAAACTTCCTTATAGGCTTTAAAAGTCGGAAAACGTACTCTAAATTCTATGGTAAACAACATCTCTAACAGCATAAGCCTCACTCAACGCAGACGTTGTCATTGGACTTCCTTTCACTCAAATGTTACTTGCACCATTGCAGTTGGTGTGAATGTGTGTGTTCAGTTAATACCATTTCAACGGCTCTGCACGGCATGCTTGTGTGTAAAATATGCGTTTCTGCTGCAATGTAGTACCCCCCGGAGGCATCTCGTCCACAACTTTAAAATGTTCACAATGCAACATTCCATCGAGTGGCAATTCAGATAAGCTTATTTCTTTTTCTTTTTGTTGTTGACATTGTTGTTGTTGTTGTTGTTGTTGTTGGTGTTGTTCTTTGTTCATTTTTTTTTTAATTCTGTGCTTGTATTTTATGGTATGTCGTTACAACAATAAAGTATGCTCAATTGCGTTGTCTTTGTTTTTGTTGTTGTTGTTGTTGTTGTCGAGTGCTGATCATTAAATACTTTTGCTGGTATTATTTTTTACTGGTTTTTTGTTAGTAGAATTTGTGTAAAGTTTTTTATTACTCGTTTTTACTTGTTTTTTGGAATTTTTTGCTCTTCATATGCTGGAAGGAGTGTGCAATATGTGGTGCACAAGCAAATGCGGTTCACTAGCAAATGAGCCAGAACATTGAAGGAGCGGTAAAAGCTTGGCATGCTTAAATTGGAATTTTCGTTTTCATTGTGCACCCAAAAAACGCTTTCATTGTACGTGTTGCTACCAGCCCGTGTCTGTCCGGGTCTATGTCAATACATCCGCCAGCATCGGTTTTTATGTGTTCGACACTCATTAATGATAACGGACTTGTAGTTATCAGATTTGGTAATTAGAAAATTCAAACGAAATAACTTAAAACGAACGAATCTCAATTTAATAAATTATTATGAAGGAACTAATTTAGTGAACATAAAAAAATAATTGAAGATTAATATTTGAGTTATGGACTTTTTTGTTTATGGAATCTTCTCTCTTGATTCGAGATTAACTGTAAGTGATTAAATCTTGAAATGATTAAAATATACATCATATACATTACCTTACTTAAAAAGGAATTCTATATCACGGGTCTCACACAAGTTTAAGTTAATTGGGAATTAATGAAATGAAACATAATAATTTTCAAACTGTTTATGAATAAGTTCTGACTTATTGTTGGTTAGTCTGATCTTTTTAGATCAGTATGTCTCGTCTTAATACCTTTTTCTGGCTAAGGACTACGATCACGCGTGCATGTCTTTAGACGTATATTATTCTAAATTTTTAGATTCAAATTTTACCATTGATATGTACAGATTCTTATAAATGTTTTCTATTTTGACATACCATGATGTTCCTGTGATTACTCTTCGCATTTTGCATTACACTCTTTGCAATATTTAAATATTTTATAAACTAGCATTACCAAATAAATTCAGTTCAGATCCAAAAATCATGTACCATTAAATCATATGGTTTAAAGGTACTCTTATATAGGATGATCTTATACTTTAAACCTAAAGAAGATAAGCTGTTCAAAATAAAGTGAGTCTTTTATTAGAGTAATTATCGTGGAGAGGTTTCTATTAAGGGTGACACAACGGAATTATTACGTTGCTTCATAAATGTCATTGGGTTAATCGTTTTTCTAGCAGTCACCTTTAAATTGCTTTGAAACTTTTCAAATATTTTTGAGACGATATACTCGTAGTATTACTGTGTCGTCGAAACTTTTAGGACAAGCTGAATATTTAACTGACAGATAGACAGATTTAACAAGAAATAGACCTACGGATTGAACAATACATTTAATAAAGTCGCTATAAATGCTTATGCTATTAAGCATAGCTTAAACTCGAAGTTTTGAGTGAAAACCAGCCTTTTTTTCGCTTAAACTGAACTTATTATTATAAGTTAAGAAATAACACTGAAATGATTCATGTTTCCATACAAAACATTTAAATAATAAATATTAATAATTAAATAATTTTGCAATGTCAACACATTTTTCGGCATTAAATACAAAACAATATGATATCACCTTTTATGGGAAGTTCATTAGCTAACATTTTTAAGACTTTTAAGATTGTTTTTTAATAGCAACAAATAATTTGTTGTTGTAACCTTGAGTAATGTGTCGATACTAATTAATTACTTAATTACTAAAATAACAAAACATACATCTAATTCAACAACAAATATTTTCCATTACATATAATATCTCGTTATTAGGAAACAGAAGATCTAAAAGATACATTTTTCAACAGAGAAGTAGTTCGTTTTGAACACTCGTATTATGGATCCTTTTGTTATTGTAGATATTTTCTTCATTTTAAACAATAGAAGGTTTCATAAAGGCACCTCTGCGTCAAAAGTAATATATCTTGTATTTGAATAAAAAATAGCCAAAAAGCAACCAAAAAGACCCCAGTGTATTCTGCAATCAAGTTAATAGATACCTCTCCCAATCAAATATATATCCCATCATTTTAACCCACAATCATAGTCTTCAATTTATATCTGTCGATCCATATCTTTTGAACACATTGACGACTATCGCAATAAGGATCTATTAATGACTTTGAATACAGATGAGGGTTTCTGTTTTACACAATAATAATAAGGCCTCAGTAGTGTAGTTATAGAAAAACTCAGTTCTTCACAGTTATTTTTCTATCATTTTTCAGAACAGATAAAGGATTTAAAATAGTAACAAAAAACTGAACAATATATACTGTCAGAAGAAAACCGACAAATGTCAAAACAAATGTTATTTTGATTTTGTTTACAACTTAAAGCCTGTTTTCATTTACACCTGCAGATGTCTTTGAATTCTGATTAATCAATTCAAAATTCAATAAAAGAGGTTGCTTTTCTTTTTACAGAAAATAGTATCCAGTTTCTGATTTGCTAACACAAAAAATCTTAAATTTACCAGCAATACATTAATATATAATATTATATACTATTAAAGTAATATACTTTATAAACATATACTATATGTGATGCTAGTCATGCTTTTTGTAAATAAACCACATAAATTTATTCGCACCTACTTCTGGTTCTATTTCTGTATTTGATTCCATGTCACATGGACCTGGATATTTTTCAGAATTTGGTTTTTCAGCTGTAAATTCTAGACCTTATGTAAAGGAAAATGAAAGTTATTATCAAAATGTTATAGATGTGACCTACACTGTTTGAATTTAATCGCATCTATTTCTGGTTTAGTTTCTCTATCGGCTCCGATGTTAGTATAAGGATATTCATCAGGTTTGGATTCTTCAGCAGAAAATAATGAATCTACTGTATATAAAAATTACGTTTAATCAGATCGTTAATATGATTTACAAACATTTTACCAACAAGAAATAAGTAACGAAGGCCTTCGAAAGACTGCATTTCTTCAACTGAAAATACTGAATCTAATGGAATTAAAAATAAAGCTTATAGTATAGCTAATTAAGATCTGATCTATAAAGAGCGTACCAGGTGAAACTAAAGTAGGAAGTTCATTATTTCTTTTTTTATTGTGCGAATTTTCTTTGCTTCTGTTTGCTTTACCCATCTCTTCTCGATTTTTCTTTTTTTCATGTTTCTGTTCATTTGCTTTTTCTTTATTTGTCGTTTCACCATTTACTCCTTTTTCATATGGCTCTGTTACATTTAGTGTTTTTCCAATGTTCGTTTTCTTAATTTTCTCTTTTTTATCCGTTTCTTCTTTAATTATATTCATATCATTTACCTCTTCTTCATTTATATATTCTTTCATTATCTTTTCTTCACTTATATCTTCTTCTCTCGTCTCTTCTTCAATTATATCTTCTTCTCTCGTCTCTTCTTCATTTATATCTTCTTCTCTCGTCTCTTCTTCACTAATCTCATCTTCTTCATTATTTATCTCGTCTTCACTTGACTCCTCTTCATTCAATGTTTTTTCATTGATCTTTTTCGTAGTTCGAAGAAAAGATTCTTCATACCATTTTTCTTCAACTGTTTTTTTATCGTTTATCGCTATTTCTTTCATCATCTCTTCATTTATATCTTCTTTTTTTATCTTTTCTTCACATATATTTTTTTCTTTTACTTCTTCTTCATTCATATCTTCTTTATTTATCTTTTTTTCATGTAATTCACTTTCGTTTAATATTTTCACAGCAATATTGTTATTTTTCTCATTTTCATGTGCTTTTTCTTCATTTGTGATTTTGTCACATCTCTCCTTTTTATTTATGTTTTCTATATTTATCTCTTTTCTATATATCACTTCTTCATTTATCTCTTCTTTATTTATTTCTTCATTTATTCCTTCTACATGTAACTCTCCTTTATTTAAATTTTTTTCATTAATCTTGTTCCTAGTTTGTACTTCGTCTGCTATTTTATCATTTGTCTGTTTATCATTTAGCTCTTCTCTTATTAACTTCTTTTCGCTAATTTCTTTCTTATTCATCCTTTTTTCATTGATCTCGACCTCATTTATCCCTTTTTCTTTAATCTCTTCTTCATTTAATTCTTTTTCACTTACATCTTTTTGATCTATTTTGTTTTTATTTAGTTCTTTTTCATATACTTCTTTTTCGTGTATCTCTTTAGCGATTATCTTTTTTTGATTTATCTCTTTTCCGTTTATCTCTTTCTCGTTTATCTCTTTTTTATTTATCTCGTTTTCATTTATCTCTTTTTTATCTATCTCTATTCCATTTATCACTTCCTCGTTTATCTCTTTTTCTTTTAACTTTTTTTGATTTAACTCTTCATTCATTATCTCTTTTTCATTTATTTCTATTTTATATAACATTTTTTCATATATCTGTTTTTCATCTACCTCTATTTTATTTGTCTCGTTTTCAGTTATCTCGTTTTTATTTGTTGCTTTTTTGTCTCTATATTTGTTGTCTATCTCTTTGTCATATATTTCTTTTTCACTTCTCTCTTTTTCACTTATCACGTTTTTATTTATCTCTATTTGACTTTTCTTTTTCTCGTTTATCTCTTTCTCTGTTATTTTTTTTAGATTTAACATTTCATCTATTATCTCTTTGGTACTTATTTCTGTTGTTTCATTTATTTCATTTTCATCTATCGCTTTTTCATTTATTTCTTTTTCGTTTATCTCTTTTTCAATTATCTTATTTTTATTTATTTTATTTTTATTTATCTCTTTTTTAGTTATCTTTTTTTTATTTATCTCATTATTAGTTATCTCTTTTTTATTTATCTCTTCTTCACCTATCTTGTATACACTTACGTCTTCTTCAGTTGAATTTTCACCTGAAGCAGTTGTCTCTGTTATATGTGAGAATAAGGTTTTAAGAATGATCTATTAATTAAATTATATATTCTTACCAATTAGTATATTGTGTTCCATTGCTCCTTAAATTATGTTAATAGTTGCTTATATATTATTCGTATCTCTATAGATATGTATATGTATACTTATACATATATTATTGTCGCAATTTTATAGATTTCTACAAAAACATTTTCATATTCCAATAACTTAAAAATTGCATTAATGAATATCTCTTTTGTTAAAAAATCTTTGAATCGCAAAAATAAAAATCATTAAAAATTTGTTTTGATGTCAGAGTTGTGACGAGCAGATTATTATTCCAAAACACCTGTTGAATATTTCAATTTTTATTTTATTCTCTTTTGTTTCTTTTTCGTGTTGTACACAAATTTAATTATTTTTATTTACATATTTTTCTTTTGTATATTTGGGCGCGTAAATTCAATTACAGAAAAACACTGAAAAACAACAAAAACAACAAATGCAAGTAAACTTCATTAATAGAAAACAAGATTTTTGACAAATATTTTTTTAAAATTTTTTATTTGCTCTTGTTTGTTTACGTTTTCATTGAAAAATGCACACAAACCAAACAAATTTGAGTGAACAAATTTTGTTTGCAACTAACAAGTTGCTCATTCACAAATAAATTTTGCCTGTGCCATTTTCAATCGTTTTCTCAAGATCTCTTAATTTGTTTTATTTTCATTGCTGGCTTACCACAGATTAGTTTACGTTTTATTTTCACCACAAAACCTTTTCTGTGTTGAATTTGTTGCTGCACGACAAACAATTTGAAACAATTACACAACAAAGATACATATCACGAGTCATGACCCCAGTTAATCAATTAATAGAAATGCAAATAAATATATGTGCGAGTAGTGTAGTTAAACACTAATTTGCCGCGTATAAAATTTTAAGAAAAAAAATTCAGGTAATATAAAATTATTCGTTAGTCATTTTTTTTTACATTTCAACACATGACATGTTGATGATTTTAATATAATAATTGATAATTATCATAAATTATATATATATTCAGGCAATTGTCACACAATTTGTTGTCATGTGTAAGTATGTGTGAATAGTGTTCACATATGATTTTATGTAGTTCATATAATATTTTACTCACAGTAAGGAGAGCAATAACAAAATACTAATAAAATAAAAATATTAAACCGAAGGGAATGCATTGTAGAAGAATAGAAAGTACGAAATTATAAAAAATAATATAAACATTGCTGAAAAGAAACAGCACTCAACGATCGTACACAAACCGGCGAATGAGCGACCCACCAAACACGTTGTCAAGTCAAAGCCAACAACAAAAAGCAAAACAAAACTAAGAGAACCAAAACAGGAACGTGAACTAACGACGCCGTAGCTGCTGAGCTGCTGAGCTGATGCAACAAGAAGAAAACGGAACTCTTGCAAGCAACAACAACGATAAATTCGATTGTTTGTTCACTTTACTTGAATTTTGTATTTACTTTCTGCTTCTGCCTTAGCACTTTCCGATTTTTTTTTCGTTTTTCTTAAAGCATTTCTTTTATTTTCTCGTTAGCAAAGTAAACCGAAGCACGCAGTCGAATTTTAATAAGGAAATTACGGGTGTTGGTAAGAACAAGAACACAAACACAAACAAAAACAAAAACAAGTTGAAAATGATAAAATAAAATTTTTGATTTCACTTAAAAGAACCAAATTTTAAATTAAACTTTAAATTTTTTATGTTTCGTTTAGTTTTGATTTGATTTGATTTGGTTACACTTTTGACAATCACTTTTTTGCCTTACTTTTTAACATTTTTCTTATTGAAATCACTTCTTGGCTCATAAAACAGGTTTACTTGTTGCACTTTTATTTGCCATTTTGTTTTCTCTATTCACATTTTTTCTTTGCACTGCCGCTTTATTGGCTTCACGGCTATAATGGCAGAAAAAACCAAATTAATAATGCCTGTCTATCACAGGTCAAGGTTAATCATCATCGACTTCCATCAACTTTTACTATTATGTAAACTTTATATAATTTAATTAATTTTTGTATTTTTCATCAATAAATTTTTGCCATCAATACAAAGGCAGCTCCAAGCACTAAGCACCAACCACACACGTCACGGCACGTCGTCAACAGGTGAGAAACCGTTTAAAAGGCAAATTCAAGAAATTTATTTTTTGTAATTAGTTCCGTTCCAAACCATTTAGCAGATTATTAGGCAGTCGCATTTACTTTTAAAGCACCAACGATAAAAATTTATTCCACTAATTTCAAAAGCAAATACATTTTTTTGTATGTTATTTCCACTTTTTTCTTTCTTGTATATTTTATTACTAATCAAATTGTTATGTAAACCCGCTCCGCTGACACTGACACTACCAACTTTCGTATTCGCTCGTTCGCTCAAAACTGAACAACTCCAATCTGATTAAACAACGCTTTGAGTACAATTTCAATTCCATATCGTTTTCGTCAAGCCAGAAACGAATAAACGAGTGACAATGATCTTACTATCAGGTTCTCTTTTTTCTCCACGTACTACGCTCTTAAGAAATTAACTTCTTTTCAACCATTCAGTCAGACCATTCTCTATATGTGTACCCTTTATGACTATTCTTACCATTAGTTAGCAACAAACCAAATTAGTTAGTTAGTTAGGATCGTATAAACCAAGTGTAATACATGTAATGATTATAACAACAGTTATAATATCAATTAAAAATGTAAGACAAAATAAACCGAACGGTTTAGGAACTGATAGCGTGCACTGATAATAGTGGTCAGTTATTGCCCTCCAAGATTTGAGAAGGCATAAATAAAAATCTTACTGCTTTACCACTCTTCATTTCAATTATATGGAAAAAAATGACACGCTTTTTAAAACTAAAGCGAAGTACTGCTATAAAAAGGTTTTATATTTATTGATTAAAATATATTTATATTGATTAAAAAATAGAGAAACAACGACAGCCGTGTGTTTGAAACCCGGCTTTTAGTTTGACTCCATTTCTAAACAGCTTTAAGCGTAGACGTACTTAAAAAAAACTCATCAAAACACTACCTAAATATCCAGACTGAATTGTAATAAGGTAAGTTAGTGATTTTATGGATATAATGGGCACTGCTTCTCAACACTACTAATTCATTAAATAGTATAACTCCTCAGTATTATTATCAAAAATATGCTTTCAAGATTGATTATGATGGCTAAATGAGTAAATGATTATTCTTAAGTTGCTACCTACACAATAAGTTCTGAAATTATCTATGGTGTTTGAGCCAATGAATCTATTAGTATGATTAGTGCAGACAGAGTGCTGACAGCTATCTCTGAAGCTGGTGGTATAAGCATATTAGTAATCTGATACACTCATCATACACAGAATATGATTTATTCTCTAGTGCACAATTTCCTGATCGTCAATTGATGGAAACTTCCGCGATATTAAGCGTTCATCCAATTTTAATATCAACAATTCATTTACTTAGCAAGTTATGCTATATTTTATGCAAATCATCATATATAAAATGTTTCTAATGTTGACTCTTGATTTGAATATTACAAAAATTTTATTCCGCAGTGAAAGTCTCATGCCATAGTAAAGATAGCACAAGTACCCTTCCAAACTTCCCTTTTACTTTAAATGTCAAGGATAATATTATTAAATATACAAGTATTGCATAAGGTCAGTAGAGCATATGAATATTTTATATATTTTAATAAATCATTTGTTGTATTCAAATCCCATAAGTAAGCAGAATTAACATCTTGACATTTGTCAGATATTCTATCTGTTGAAAGTAAATTCATTTCATATTTATGGTAAGGAGATAAGAAGCTTTTCCCAAGTAAAACTTAAAGAATTTCTAAAAAATCTACATGTTTTCTTATGAAATTAATCCATATTTCAAACTACGCTAGTCGAACCCAAAAGAAGAAGTAAAACATTTTATCTTGAAGCTAAAAAATTGATGTTAAACAAAAAAAACCTCTGATAAGGCTTTGAGTGTCAGACTCAAACGAACTGATAAAATACGTGCAAACTTGAACGAAAATAACTTTTTTAGCATTCTTAATTGCCACTGTTAAAGATACATAAATTCTTTTAAAATTTTGTGTAAACTTACTGATAAATTTTCGGCGATAATCGTCGTAGCCCATCACTGGCAAATGCCGCTCCACATCTGCTGCATCACAAATGATTTCATTATCGCAGAGCTCCAACATTTTCTATCTGAAACTTTCGCCACAGAGACAATTTCAAAAACTCAAAATTTTTCTTATTCTTTATATAATATTTTTATGTTTCGTTTTAATTTTAGTTTATTTTATTATTCTTTGCATTCTTTCCAAGCATATTCAGTGATTGTCTCCACCCACAACCGTGAACAAAGCATACATTTAGGCGCTTTGATCTTTTGTGCGCATTTATTAAAAATTCACTTGAATTTTGTTGGATTTAAGTATTAACTCAAGTGTGAAGACATCCTCACATCATGAGTTCAATTTAAAAGTGAAGCAATCAAAGCGCAGCTTAAGGCTTTATGGCATTAAAATGGGTTTTTGGTTGTCAGAATCCGATTTTATTAAATTAATTATCTTAACATAAACATCTTTAGAACGACAAACAGTGAAAATGTTGAGACGCCCGTGGACGCCTCTGCTTTTAGAATTTTACAGTCTTACCGCGGCTATGTTATAAAGTAAACCGAACTACTTTAACCATTTTAGCCAAGTAATAAAATATAAATAATAATTAATCGA